CCTGGGGTATTATTTCTGTTCTAATTTTTTCCCATTTAATTGGAAAACTATATTGTTTCTGCTGCTAAAGAAGAATGTCATCTTATTTTGTATCTTTAAGATCTAGAGGACAGTTGCTGGATTTCATTTGTAAGTATATTTGTGAGGTTATGTCTTGAAGTGAAAAGTTACAGTTACTTGTTAGTCCAGCTCCTTACATGACAGTATGTTCATCTTTAGACTTGAATCTCAGCTTATTTTCAATAGTTGAGCTGATTGACAAGTAGATAGTTATTTACGTAGTTAAAGATAAAAATCAAAGGTAAATTCTTAGAACAATGTATGTTTAATACATTATTGAAAGCATCATTTTACATCCAAACATTAATTGAACTGCAGTTGGTTAGAAATACCTATTCTTAAAGCTTTAGTGAAAACATAAAGAAGGAAGAAGGTGACCATCTTTCAAATGAAGTTAATGGTTATTAATGATGAAAGATTTTCTCCAGAAAAAGATCACTTCCTTTTAAAAAAGCAAAATATTAAATGTCAATACCTAATAATACTGGTAAATGGCATCTCTACTTAATTTTGATTGACCATTGTTTTAAATTTGAGTGTCTTTTTCTTATAGATGTGTATATATTAGAAAAACAATGATGTGCAGCATCACATGCCTGTAATTCCAGGAATTTGGGAGGTTGAGAGTGCAAGATTGCAAGTTCAAGGTTAGCCTTAGCAATTTAATAAGATTCTGTCTCAAAATAAAAAATTAAAAAAAAAATTAAAAGGGGTGGGGGAAAAAAGCTCAGTGTAAAGCACCTCTGGCTTCAGTCCTCAGTACCAGAAAAAGAAAAAAGAAAAACAGTTCCTTAGTTGAAGCTTCACTGCATATAACTGTAAGAGGGCTCCAAACTCCAGTTTAGATATGTTTTTCATAAACATATAACTTAGGTATTGATATTTATTTATAATGTAGTTTACATACAATCCATGGAAACTTTAATTTTTGTATTACACCTTATTGACTCAGGAATCTTAATTAAAAATACTAATATCCTTAAGAAAAACTGAGTATATGGTAGTTGTAGTCAAAGTGGGGTTTTGGTAGGGAAGAGGGGGGAGGGAAGGGGTGTTCGAGAAATTGTTGAGATCTGAAGTATTATTTGTTTAGAAAAAGGTTGGAAATGTCTTATTTTCTAGTATATGTGAAATAAGGGAAAGCCTATCAATTTTCAGAGTAAAGTTATCCAGGATTTGAAGTTTGGCTATGTCATCTTCTAACAAGGGAGTTTTAGGCAAGTTTTTAAATCTTTTTGGACCTGTCTTCTTAAAGTGGGGATAATATTTTCCACTTTATAGTGTCTGATGATAGATAAGTGAGAGAGTAAAACGTCAAAGCATTTATTTAATACTCTTGTACATTGTGGTCATTCAGTAAGTGTTCCATTCATCAGTGAAATTTTAATCCTTCTGTAACTTAACTGTGAAATGTTGCCTCTGACTGATTTTCAATTACCTTGAACATAGTTATATTAGCCTTTTTTTGTGAAGAAAAGGGAAAGGGTGAAAATGGACACTATAGATGCCAGTTATATAAGGTGTTACCACGAGTACACTTAGTAAAACTGTCCGTGAAGGTTATTCAGAGATAATTTAATGCTTTAATGTAGGACTTACTAAAGAAAAAGTTTCATTGCTTACAGTCCAGTCAAAATTAAATTGTACTCTGAGAATTAAATTTCAAACATCATGAACATTTATGCAGCTTACACTGTATCATTTAACTCAAGTAAGAGAAGTACTATGTTTTCTTTGTATTTTAAGTTCATTAATTTTGGTTTCACATTTATAAGCTTAGCATCTTAATTATTCTATTGAATATTGTATCACTTTATCTGATAATTAGACTTCTACCAACCTCAGTCATGTGTAACCATGTATTTAAAAGAACATGACTTAAAACAACAGTGTATGAAATGGAGAAAAGGAGTGATTTAAGGAATTTAGACCTATATTTCCCCTGATAACATTTCACTAGTTTAGATAAAGAGAGGGTCATATAGTGGACCGCTGGAAAACTTTATTTTGAAACACCCGTTTTAAGGAAAGATTCCCATTGTATTTTATTTTAATATCTTCTAAACTATGTATATCATACATAAATTGGCCAGTATTAACAAAAAAGGAAAACCAAAAGTAATGCGTTTGAAGTAAAAGGGAATTTGCCTTCACATTCATTTTCCCTAGTACCAGGCATGCTCTCATCTCATTTTCCTTCCTAATAGAAAACACTATTAAACAGATTAGCATGTGTCTTGTCTGTGTCTTACTGTGTGCTGACATATCACAACTTTTGTTCCGGCATATATGGGTTTATGTTATACATATTCTGTGTGCTTTTTCTTTTCTTTTTTTGGGGGGGAGGGTGAGGTGGTATCTTTTTGATCTTTTTTTGTTTGTATGTGTCAGTAATATAAATCAACCTCAGGATATTTAACAATTATGAAATTCCATAGGGCGGATGTTCATTTCCCTGCCAATGCTCTCCAAAGACATCAGGCACAGACCTGTGTTTGAGCAAATTGGATTTATTACTTTTTGCGTTAAGGAAGAGTGTACACCATGGAGAATCACAGGGTATCTTGGAGGATTTAGAAATGATAATATTAAAGGATTGGGCTCATATTAGGTGATTTGTGGGGAGGATTTAAGAAAGTATTTGCATTGGATACTGTGAGGAAACTGAATAATTCTATTATGGGTATCTTAATAAGTCTCATCTAGAAAGAGGGAAGACTAGACTAAAGTGCAGGATGTAATTAGTAAAGAAGCTGCAGTTGCTCACACTGGCCTGGATTGAGTGTCATATTTGAAGTTTTGACAATATTAATGTTTTATCTGTATTCACATATCATGATGGAGTGATGCTATTTTGTCAGTATCACAGTGGCCTTGTCTGATATTTATATTCTGTGAAACTGTTTATGTTCAATAGGAGAACAATGCTGTTAATGCCAGGATAATTTACAGTAAAACCAAAGCCTGGCTGATGGTACCAGTGCCACAATGACAGGGGAGCTGCTTTTTTCCTCTTCCCTTTATTAATGATCAGCAAGGTTATTTCCTACTTATTATCAGCACATTATAAATTATCATTTATAGTGTTAAATGGTGAACATTTTTATTACATGAGGAGTGAGGAAACATTAAGTTGAATTGTTTCTGAAAAGTTTAGTCTCAATACCATTTGTTGACTAGTCCATTGTTTTTCTCATTTTGTAGAATACAGCATTGTATTCTGAATGCTGACATAAGCATGAACATATGGCAAAATTTCTCTTACTTGACCTTCACTTAACTGACTGACTGGATTAACTGGTATTCTATTCTAAATTCCCTCTGTAAAAAGTAGGGGCTAGAGACTACAGAAAGCTTAAAGTTTACTACTAATATATGCTACTCAGCATTATGCTAATACAATTCAGTTTTTTACTAGTTAAGTTTTACATTACAAATACTCAGATGTAATGTTTCTAAAAACTATTCATGCCAGCTGTGCTTGCTATATTTTATATTTATGATTTTATTTGGTATTATGCAAATCAGTAAAATATGAGGAGGGAAAGGAAATAAAGGTACTGTTTCAAAGGAAAGTAAAAAGAAACAGTAAGTCACCAAAAAAACTTGTGGCTTGTGTATAGGGCTTGTGTTTTATTAGTATGTACATCTGAATAGTTCTAGGAGTACTCTTGTCCTATGGTAAAATTTCTTAACTGACAACTAAAACTTTAATAACAACAAAAAAATTGTTGAATTGCATACTGAAACGAAGCTTATTTCCAGAATAGTAAGCCATTTTATGTATTTTCTTGTAAAACATTTTAATGTTGCAACCTATCTTATATCTTAAAATTATAAGGACATAGGCACAATTGAGAATTTGTTAACAAAAAACTGAGTTGGTGATAGTTTAAATGCAGTGTTTCATACTGCAGGCTAATATCTATATGATATTTCTAATTAGTGAATTAAAAAACTGGTAACTCTAAAGCTAAAAGAAAGAAAACTAGACTTCTGCATTGTGTTATTTATTACTAAGAAACAATTTCAGAACTTAGTGACTTGGAACAATAAGCCTCTCACAGTTTGTGTGGTCAGAAGTCTGGGAGTGCTTTCAGCGGAGTGGTATGGTTGAAGCTTTCTCATTAGGTTATGATGTCAGCCATGGATACAGTCATTTGAAAGCTTGATTAGGCCTGAAGGATACATTTCCAAAATGATTCATTCATATGGTGCCGGTTATTGGTAGGAGCCCTCAGTTCTTCCCTATGATGTTCTTTCCATGGACTATTTAATCATCTTTATGGTTTGGTAGCTAGCCTCCCTTACAGTGTCAATCCAAGAAAAAGAATGAGACAGAAGATGTAAAGTGTTTGATGATCCAGCCCTAGAAGTCACATACTATCCATCCCATCTACTTTATTTTATTTGTTTGAAGGGAATCAGTAGCTGGAAAAGTCATTTGGGGCCTGAAATTGAGGGATCTCAGGTGATAACTTCCTTTTAGTCAAATAGTTACTCAGGACTACTCACATGTTAAAGCTGTATTTTCCTCACTTCAGTGATTCTAGTCCTGCATTAGATTTTTTTGGCATAGGTGTATCCTATGAGTCATAAACAGTATTTTTCTTTAAATCCACTCACTTTAAAAATTTTTTAAACTTAAAAACATATTTAATAAAAAAATGTGTGGTATTGCGATTTGAATATGCTAATTCAATGTTTTATAATATATATTAATTGCATAAAAGTTTCAAAATAAATGTTTCTTTGTGCTACATATAATCTCTTAAACTCCTCCCCTCCCCCAAAAAAGTGATTAGTAATATATCTTAAAGGGAAGGTAGTTAGATCAGACTCTTGAATAAGAGAAAAATTACTACACTGCAGATGTTTATTTTGTGTGTGTATGATTCAGGGAAGAGGAAAGAGTTCACTTATGTTTGACTCCTTTTTAGGATACTGCTTTAGGAAAACCACGAGAGGTGTTTCGACTACCTACAGATTTGACGGCATGCGATAATCGCCTTTGTGCATCTATCCATTTCACATCATCCACCTGGGTTACCTTGTCAGATGGAACTGGAAGATTATATGTTATTGGAACAGGTGAACGTGGAAATAGTGCTTCTGAAAAATGGGAGGTGAGGTTTTTTGGGTTTTTTTTAAAGACTTTCAAAGTCCAGAAAGTATATGCAAATTAGACCTTATTTATTTTCAAAGAATACTTTTTAAGGAGAGCTTATAGGTGACCTCTTGGTTTTTTTAATATAAAGTCTTGTGTCTCTTTTTAAGTAAATTATAACATACATATACTTTGTGTTTAACTGATAGGTTAGTTGTTTGTTTTCATCTAGGGTCAGTATACTTGTCAGGATTTGCATTTATTTTTCAGCAAATATTTCTTGAGTGTTTTGTATGTATTAAAGCACTGCACTAAGCACTGACATTGTCTCCTCCTTGAAACAGAGTTGAAAAAGCTTATATTGAAATGTTTTTCTCGTCTACTTTCATGTTAAATTTGCTGATATGTTTACACTGGTCAAATAGTTTAACTATTCCCTACTTAGAAAAATACATAGTAATATAAATATGCTTATGTACTAATCTCTAAGATGCCATTTTTCTTTCAATGTTAAAAAATGAAGCAGATCTAAATGTGAGAGGTGGATTAGGATTTTAATGGCAGTAAGACAATCAATTTTTCCAATGCCTGTTTTTGAAAATGGAAGAAAATGATTTGGGGTAGATAATCAAAGGATTTATTGCTTCAATTCCTTTGAATTCCACTAATTGGTATAATATTGCCACTGTCTAAATCTTAGCAGATAGCCTTTAGTTTCAGATAAATAGATAAAAGTTTAATATATTTACATGTTATAAAATATCTTTATCAGATCAACGATACATATTAACATCAGACCTTAATTATTATTTGAGAAAAACCTTGGAGGTTTTCAAACTAAATGACTTGCCTATCTTACTAAGTTTTTACTAAATGGTATATTACCAAATTATAGTATGTCTGGAAAACTAAACAAAAACATCATCAGTAGTCTGTTTATAAGAGACTGTTGCTTTCACAGTTTCATATTCATCGGACATTGTGACATTTTCTACTCTAGCCTTCAGTAAAAACTTAAAAAAATGAGTTATTTTGTGTTATAGCTATCATTAACTGAAACATTTAGAGTTTTGAGAATGATGGTCAAGAGATAAAAATGAGAATTATTATTGAGTTTTGTAGACTAAGTTGGTTTTAAGCAGGAAGAGACAAGAGGACTCAGTTCACTCTCAACTTATTTTTTAAGAATATTCTATTCCACAGATTCTGCTGGAAGGAGATGCACATAGATTTATAATTCTTTTGATTTTTGCTGTGTGTGTCCCTTGAAACATATTAGGCCTTTAAAATATGTTTTAATTCATTAAAAAGTGAAATCTGTCTTATGCCCTTTTTAGTATACACTGCTATAATAAAAAAAGAACCCTTCTGAGATGTTGTCTGTTAATAATTATAGCTTTGTCTAGATAATGGGGGAAGTGAGAGAAGAATGGGACTTGGACATTAATTAAAGTGAGAAAGCTACAGAATATATTAGTTATAATAATTTAAGAGAGTTTTAGGACTTTGGGGCAATTGGTGTGATAAAAAAAAAAAAGCTAAGAGTAAAAGTGATTAAAGGGCATGATAGGGCACAAGGGGGCCAAGGGTGGTGGTGATGACTAGGGTATAGAAAGAAATTAAAAGATATGGAAGACTGCGTACTTTCCAAATAATATTATGAGGGTGGTAGATCAGAATAGTGTTACAGTTGAGATGCTGGTCTTGTTCAGAAGATTAAAAACCTCAGCCTAGCAACTTTTAGTCTAGTCATCTGTTTCTTTTTACTCTTTCTAGTTCCTACCACTTGTAAGAGAAAGAAAAAAAAGGAAAAACTAGCTGCTTATACCTCCTAAAACATGTCATTTTTGCTTCTTGCCTTTAGCTTCCATTGTCCTGCAAATGAGTTAAATTCAGTCAGCCAACTCAAAATTTATCTTCATAGGTTGTCTCAGTTTTGAGTATCTGAGGGCTTGTTGTTGTTGTTGTTTCTGCTTTTGAAAATTGTTAGATGAATTTCAAAGACTTACTATTGAATAATTTTGGCAGAAGTGCTCAAACATATAGGGAAATAGATAACAGCTCACTTTTCTTTATAGAGATTTCAAGTAGAAAAAAATTGCAGAGACTCTAGGTACAGATTTCAAAAGAAAAAAGCTAACTTTTTCTTCTGTTTTGTTTTTTTTAAAATTTTTTCCCAACTACAACTTTTCAGAAATCTTGTTTAGAAATCAGTCTTAAAACTCTCCTGTTTAGTGTTTACTCTAAGAGGTAGATTGTCTTTTAGAGCACACATTTATGGTATAAAAAAGATTTTAATAAGATTTTGTGCGGCTTTAAATTTGCTTGGGGAAGGGAGAACAACATCAAGAATACATTTTAAATAGAGTTTGTTGAATTATCTTTTAAGTGTAAATGGGCTCTTTGGTTTTGAGGTTAAACTTTACTGATTGTTCTCTGACTTTTATCTTTGTGAACTTCAAGAAAATAAACAGAAATACAAATAAATAAATAATAAGTATAAAGCATACATGCACATACATGCATACAGCACACAGAATGCAGAAACAAAGAGTAAGAAAGCAGAAATAAGTCATACATGATAAAAGGGAAGAGACTAGGAGTGAATGTTGACTTGCCTGTGGTCTTTTTATGTAGAGCACTTTTACCCTGTGTAATTCTCCTTTAGGAGATTGCTTTTAGTTCTCTTTCTCCTTTAAATACTGTGTAGATGCCCTGTTATTTTCTTTAAAGCCAAGAGTATTGATCAGTTTTCTATTATACAAATCGCATTGGTGTGTATGCGAGTGTGCATGCACGCACAAGTTTTTTCTTCAAGGAACATTATTTAAATTTGCTTTTTTATTTTTTAATTCTTCCTAATAAATAGTATACAAAATAGTTGTTGGATTGTCACCACTTTTATGTATTTCCTCTGTGCTATGCTTGTACAATATATACATTTTCATGGTTTTATTTTTTTGGTAGATTATGTTTAATGAAGAGCTTGGGGATCCTTTTATCATAAGTCACAGTATCTCTTTGCTAAAAGCTGAAGAACATTCCATAGCTATCTTAATTCTTCGAATAGAGAAAGAAGAATTGGATATGAAAGGAAGTGGTTTCTATGTTTCTCTGGAGTGGGTCACTATCAGTAAGAAAAATAAAGGTAAAATAAAATAAAATTCTGAATCTCTCTATAGTGATTGCCATCAGTATGTTTTGAAATACAAAGCTGTCCCTGTAAATGCTGCTTTGTTTTTCCTGGGCACTATTGATTCTAGCACCTGCCACCACAGGTGGGTTGGATATCTGTAGATAGTTTCTCCTCAGGTATGAATCAGTTATGAGTTAATAAAATAAATAAATAAATAATGTTATGCCTTTATATAAAAGGAGACATTATTACAAGACATTACTACATAATTCTTGAAAATTTTTAACATGTATATTTTTAATATTGCTAAGAATTACAGTTTTATGCTATTGTGTTTCTCCAGAGATGAACCAAAAATGCTGGGAAGCACAAATCTGTTACATTAACTACTTCAAATTTATTCATCTTATTTATATAAATTTTCATATCTGTAGCTGTACAGATATATCTTGTGGTAGTTATTCATTTTGGAATGAATAGCCTTCCTATAAAATATATAGTGCCTAAATTTAGGTCATTAAAAGCAAGTAGGATTGCTTTTCTTGCATGTACCTGTGAAGGGTGTATAGATGTATAATTTTAGTTAATTCATGAAACTATAAGCCTGTTTTTATATATGTGTGAATTGAATGTATGAATATAGGAGAGGATGCAACCTATATTAATAGAGTAAATAGTATAAGTAAAGATATGGGCTCAACTGAAATGTCTGAGTATTTTTTAAAACAAACAAACAAAAAAAAACCCCTATCTTCATAGAATAACAAATTTAGTTAATTTACAAAAAGCTTTTAGGATATGGTTGTTTATATGTTAAAAGTGTTTTTTTTTATATTTGGTTATTAGTAATCTAGATCTCTTTATGTGTAGAAATAATTTCTACTGTAAGCATATTTTATTTTAAGAAACCCCCTTACCAGCAGTTAGAACAGACAGAAAAATAGTCCCCACCACACTTTTTCCCTTATCCTCAATTTGTGGCTCTTTTCAGAAGATGCCTGTCATATACCTGCTGGGAAAATAGACAGACTATAGTCAAGGAGAAGGTAGAACCTTCAGAAGCTGATATTCTAGGTAAGTTAGTCACTTTGAAGGCCAGATCTTTGCTGTCCAATAAGAACTTCTATGAGAGGGACATGTTTCATATGTGCACCATTCACTGCCATAGGTACTATGGTGTAACTATTGAGAAGTTGGAAAGCCAGCGTAACTGAGGAATTGGATTTTAAACTTAATTTTAATTAATTGCTTGTGGCTGGGGGCCACTCCCACCAGCCACAATTGGACAGAATAATCTAAGAGAAAATTGCATCAGATCCAGTATTTTTAAATAATCATTGAAGATAATGAGGTTATGAATATTTTATTCTTACACAAAGATTATTAATGTGAATTGTAATAATAATATTTAGAATATTTAATTTAAAATTAATGTTTTCAGATTATTTTATTATCCATTTTTGTAATGTTTTGTTCTAACGTATTTAATTTTCTTATAGATAATAAAAAGTATGAAATTACTAAGCGTGATATTCTCCGTGGAAAATCAGTGCCAAATTATGCTGCTATTGAGCCAAATGGAAATGGTCTAATGATTGTCTCCTACAAGTCCTTCAAATTTGTTCAGGTTGATCAAGATCTTGAAGAAAATATGAATGAAGACATGTCAGAGAAAATCCAAGGTGATTTTATGTTTAATCTTTATAAAGCTGAGTGTATTCCTATAAACATTTATGTCTGTTTTGTCTTTCCAGTGAGGTTATGGGTTCTACCAGGTGGGATAGATACGTAATTTTAATTTTCTTTTGTATTTCCCAAAAAAGACTTTTGTAAAATATACCACCTAAATAGTGGAAGCTATATAAAATTTAATAATTTTGTGATTATCAAAGATTTTTTTTTAAATCTCTCAGCTTACTTGATTGCATGTTTAATAAATATTTAAATAAGTTAATAAGCAAATTAATTACTGTTGGCATTTGAAAAACCTGTATGATGGTATTAAGAGTACTAATGTTTTAAAATGAATTAAACTAATATACATGTTCTTATCTTTCATACTAAACTGATAGAGTTGCTTGAGGGCAGAATCAAGATTTTCTCAAGGTTGAATGAATGAATAAAGGTCATATTTTAGAATGAAAATATTAACGTCTTTAAGAAGAAATTTATATTTGTATACAAAGATACATATTATTTTAAAACTATTCAAAAACATCCCTTCATAATCACTGTTCATATTTCTGATGTTCACAGCCAGGGATGTAATTTACAAATATTTCCACCAGGTTTATTATGTATATACACACCACTAAGTACAAAAAATTATGCTTGGCATTTTAGTTAGCCTTTAAGCACCGTTGTTTCTTCATATATTATGTGGTTTTTGTTAGATTCTCTTCTATTCTGTCTTAATCATAGTGTTAAACCCTCCTAAAACTTTTCCAGATTGACTCTTCATATCCGCATGCCCTCTAGAACTTCGTTGATGAGCAGTTGGGCAGGAAGGAAGAATGCCCTGGTCATTGGAACCATTATGCTAGATAGCTAGGACCATGTAGTTGAAGACATGTAGTAGGAAGGCATGTGATAGCCCAAGTGGAACACACCTTGTGTTTAAATCACTAATTACTAGTCCAGATATTGTTTTATTGTTGACTTCTTATATCTTGAATTCATTATTTTTTACAGAATTTTCACAAAATAATTTTCAAAAGTTAGGAATTTTTTATTAATCAGTATGTTTAAACTTTTCCGAGTATACATACTAGTTTCATTTTCTGAAAATCTCAGAAAGACTGGTATTGTCTGTTGGCTATTTGGTATTGTCATAATAATACAAATAATAATATTTTTTCTTAAATCCTAAAACATAATTTCTAAAAGCACAGAAAAACTCTAAAAACAACCAACAATCAAGAAAATCTAGATGTTTGTTTTTGGTGAGGAACTCGAAAATTTTGACTTGCCCTTTAGTTTGTTTTCATGCCTCTTTATACTAAAAGTTCATGTAATTTTACAGACTCTTGCTATCCTCATTGTTTGGCTGAAGTCTTCCATTGGGTAATTATTAAATAAAAACTGCTTGGATAAACTTTTGAGGAAGACATATTTTATATTCTTTTCAAACAGGAATCCAGTGTGTGTGTGTGTGTGTGTAAGAGGGAAAACGGGGGGGGGGGTGAGTATAGGGAGGTAGGTATGAAATGGGGATGAGGCATTTTTGTCCATTGTATTTTATGAATCCTTATTTCCTGAACAGTAGGTAAGACTGGAAGAGAAGAATGTCAAGTGAAATTGCTACAATTCTTTAAGGGAAAATTCCCCAAAGTCTATGTGGGTTCATTTATAATTACTTTTTTTTGTGAGATAATCACTAGAAGATATGCTAAGATTCTTTTAGAGATGGATATTCTTTCTTATGTTCTAGTCTCTAATTTTGTATGTTGTAGTCTTGTTTTTATTACATAATGCAGTTTTCTTTTCTCAGTAGAACCTCTGTATTATTGGCAACAAACTGAAGATGATTTGACAGTGACAGTACGGCTTCCAGAAAACAGCGTTAAAGAAGATGTTCATGTGCAGTTTCTACCTGATCACATCAACATTATGTTGAGGGATTGCCAGTTATTGGAAGGAAAGCTGTATTCATCTATTGATCATGAAAGCAGTACATGGATAATTAAAGAGAATAATAGGTATATTTTTTATAGTTTTATGTTTGAAATTTTACTTTCTTGTTATTTTATTTTTATTTTTTTTTTATTTTTACTCTTTCTACAGTTGTTATATCAAAGATGAATACAATAGTTCTGTTTGCATTTCTGATTTTTTTTTCAAATAAATTAAAAACAGATTTTTTACATCACACAGCATAATTATGGTTAAGATTAAAGATACTAATGTAGTTATTGTTTGCAGTAGGTAGAAGTGTTTGTTATTACCAGCTCTGGGTACAGTAATAACCCTAGGCAAAATGGTTATTTATTTTAATTTGCACTCTTAAACTGTTAAATAGAAATCTTTTTTTTTCTGTTAAGCTTTATTTGCTTACTAAATAATACAACTACCATCCCTACTTTCCATCCAGAGATATTTCATGTTTTCTAACAACATACACATCTTTTTCTTTTTTTTTTTTAAAGTTTTTGACACATACTATGCACAATTTATATCTTGCTTTTGTTCATTTTCAACAATAAATTGGGTTAAATATAATTCATCAAGCAGTAATCCAGCAAAGGTCTAGGGGAATTGCTGAATTTCATGCAAATAGTTTGAGTGTTCAACACATGAACATAGACCACTATTGTTTTTTCAGTAAATTTGAGGTTTTGGGTTATGATTTTGTGTTACAAAAGATAATTACAATGAGGCGTAGGTGGTATTGTTGGCTTAAAAAAAACATGATTTTCTGTGCTTGATTAAATTGTTCATCTCTCTCATTTTCCAGTAGTTAATGTTCTTTCTCACTTTGAAAGGGTTTGTTAACTAGGCTGTATCTTATTATGTATGTTTCTTTTTGTTTGGATAGTAGTAGGATCTGATGCTGGTTTTAAAATGTAGAAACGCAGTCATGCTGAAAGGGCTATGTTGTTGAGGTGTGCAAAATAACAATGGTTCATTCTTTGTAACTAAGATTATGTGAGCTATTTTAAACATCTTGAGGTAGCAACTAAGAATGTGTTTATACATTCTGGTCACTGGGTAAAAGTTCTTAAAAGTTATTTACATGTATTTTTTCAGAGAGGCAGAATAGTTCAGTAGTGAAGAACATGGACTTGGAGCCAGGCTGCTTTACTAGCTTGTGACCTTGGCAAGTTATTTAACCTCCTTTAAGTTCTTTTTTCCCCCTTGCTTGTAAAATGAACATAATGGTACTTACTTAATTTGGTTGTGATGAGCAATAAGTGAATTAAAACATGCAAAGTGCTTAAGACAATGCATGGTATATGGTCAATGTTAGGTAAATGTAAACTGTCATTATTATCTTCATCATCAAGATTAGCCTTTTTTTGGTGTGGAGCGGACCAGTGATGGAACTTAAGGTCCCTCGACCACCGAGCCACATCCCCAGCCCTATGTTGTATTTTATTTAGAGACAGGGTCTCACTGAGTTGCTTAGTGCCTTGCTTTTGTTGAGACTGGCTTTGAACTCATGATCTTCTTGCCTCAGCCTCCTAAGCTACTGGAGTACAAGAGTGCACCACTGTGCTTGGCTTAGCCTTTTACTTAGAAAATATAACTTCATCTGGGCATTGCTGATTATGGTAGTAATTTTCAATGCTAATGATAGGATCTCCTATCTCTTAAAATAATATTAGAAAATTTTAAAATGCTGTAATTAATTCATGAGGTGGTAATAATAATAGCCTTAAAAAAGAATGATAAGCTTACATGTTCTGTTTGATAATAAGTATAATTGTATTTTTGAAATTGTTTTCTTGCATTTGTGTTCCACAGCATGGTTTAGCGTAGACATGTACCAAAGATATCACGTGGTAAAGGTCACTTTGCTGTGGAATAGCTCCTAACATCCCATTTTTTTTTTCTGTTGCAGCAACGGCTGCTCACAGAGCATCTTACTTGAATTTCATATCCTATTGCCAAGGATCAAAGGCCAGCTGCCTTCTGTGTCAGTCATCTGCCCTGACTCAGCTCTTCCCTCTCCTTCATCTCAGGGTTCCCTAACAGACATTTTTTATTTTATTTTTTTATTTCTGTTTAATGGTTCAAATGTACAGAATTAGATTTTGAATAAGTTAATAGAGACTACATTAACATCTTTATTTCCCTGTATTACCAAAGTTGTTTTACTGATTCCTACATTTCTTTTCAATTCTTTAAAATCTATACATTAAAATTAACATTTGCATTGATTTAACCAACCTGATAATTTGATTAATATATACATATTAATGGTTATTAGTTTGTGAAAATAAAGTTACTTGTTGGTTTCAGATACCAAGAACTACCTTATGGTTGTAGGCTTTCCTTTATAAAGTACATCAACCCCCATTTACCATTATCTCATATCCATGCTACTTGTGCATTTTTTGTACTTCAATTTTAACATTCTGCACACCTGGACAACCACAGTACTTTTTGAGTAGACTCATTTTTTGCAGTCACTCCCCTTTGAAAGCCAGCCATTTGGGGCATCATTCCAGTGCTATTTTCTTGTTTGTTTATTAAGTCTAAATTATTTGCCCTTGAATTATAGGTTTTCTATCATATGCAAAGCTAAAATGAACAGGATTTTGGGTAACATACTTTCTGGATACCAGAGGAGTATTTCTGTAGAAGATTCTTCTGCTTGTTTTTGATAGTATAACTTGCATAGTTGTGTAATACCACTTTTCTCGTTTAAACTTTTAGCTTGGAGATTTTCTTGATTAAAAAGAATGAAGGATTGACATGGCCTGAGCTAGTGGTTGGTGATAAACAAGGGGAACTTATAAGAGACTCAGCCCAATGTGCTGCCATAGCTGAACGTTTGATGCATTTGACTTCTGAAGAACTGGTAAGCAGTTGCAGTAGTAGTATGACTTTCCAAGAATCCAGAGTATGTTATGTGAGGATTGTCCCATGATTTTCAAATAGTATTTTGCTTTGACAAGTATAAAAGATGTAGATTCAGTACTATTGACCTGATTAATGTCTTAAAATGACTTAAGTTCTATTTCTTACATGGTGCGAATTCATATATGTGGGGGATATTGTATAGGGGTGTATGTGTATATATTTATGTATCTGCATATAGTCTCCTTTAGAAGAATTAACTAATAAATGCTGCCAGGAACAAATAATTATTTAACACTTTATGCTAATAATCTACTTATCATTGACATTTTCTAAGTAATCTTAGATTATCACAAGGATATATATGTAGATTATATATAGTATAGTTATTTTTGACAAAGTAAATTCTTGTAATGAGTACAATGACTAAGACAATACTTATTCAGCCATAGGGTTGAAAATGTTCTCATGCTAATTTGGACAGATACAGCAAAAAGTCAGTTATACATTTGTTTACCAAAAATTATATCAGTTTATGTAGAATGTCTGCTTTACTGCCATCTTGAATAATAATGATGAAGGTGGCTACATTAACAATTATCCTGTAGCCTTAGTTGCGTCTTAAAGTAGAAAACAAAGTTTGGAATATTGAAAGTGAATGTCTTTGTCAAAAGGAAACATGACAAAAATAGAATTGGTCCCAATAATTGAAAATTTCAGCAAACACTGGAATTTATACGTAGACTACAAAACTTCAGTTTCATAGCTTTTTAACACAAGCCATGCAGGCTACAGAAATACTTCTCTGATATCCAGAGAATATGTTACCCAAAATCTTGTTCATTTTAGTTTTGCATATGATAGAAAACCTAAAATTCAAGGGCAAATAATTTAGGTTTAATAAACAAACAAGAAAGTTCCACTGGAATGATGCCCCAAATGGCTGGCGTTCAGAGGGAGTAACTGCATTCATTCATTCAGCAAGTATTTATTGTGTATAATATTTCCAGGCTAATATTAATAAAAGACTTGTTTTGAAACAAGTGTTTCTTCTAACTACTTTTTAAACCTGATGGTTTCAAAGACATATTTGTATTTATGAGAAAGTTACGTATACATAGACATCATTATGTTTGTTGCATTCTGAAAAGACAGTGCAGAATGAAAATACAGTCCTGTCATCTGCAATTGAGAGCAGTTTTGTGTTTTTGAAATTTTCAAATTTACTTCATGTGGTGGCTATACTCTACTGTTAAATAGAATCATGAATGGCAAAAACAGACATTCCTATTATCATCTTTAGGAAAAGAGTATTTCACTATAAAGTGTGATAGATTCTTTTTTATCAAATTAAAGAAATTTTCTTGTATTCCTAGTGTACTGAGAATTTTTCTTCTGAATGGCTATAGAATTTTCAGTACTTATGATAATACTTGTTTTGTTTTCTATTTGATATTTTATTTTTAATTTTCATATCTAGAGATTTGAATTCTTTTATATCTTCCATATGTCTACATGATTGTGTTTTCCTTTACATTTTTGAGTACATAGAACTTGTTTATAATAGCTGTTTTAATGTCCTTCTGTGCTGACTCCATCATTCTGTCATCTCTGTGGCTATTTTTATTGGTTATGTATTTGAAATTAGTTTTAATTATTGCTATAATCACAACATTTCTAAGGGTGAGTAAATGCATTTCCTTACTGTTGTTTTTTGACTTATTTTTTGACTTATTTATTTCATTTTATGATCTAAGAATCCAAATCCAGATAAAGAAAAACCTCCTTGTAATGCTCAAGAGTTAGAAGAATGTGACATTTTTTTTGAAGAGAGTTCCAGTTTATGCAGATTTGATGGCAATACTTTAAAAACTACTCATGTGGTAAGTTCTTATATAGTGTTTCAAAAATTTTCTAAATAAGTAGAGAAGTTACTCAGATGATAATTAAATGACCAAATAAGTGTTTTGCAAAAGTAGCTTGATTATCAGTTAATGACTGTGCTATTGAAGTTGTACCAAATATTTATGCTTAAATCCCACCATTCTATAAAGTAGCATTGTTCCACAACACTAAATCTAATAAAACAGCGTTTCATTTTTTTTGGTACTACAGTGTGTTGATATTTTTCAATTGGCTTTTTTTCTCTACCAGTGTTTTATATACAGTTGTGACTCTATAATGCATAACTTTATATCTTCTTTTTTCATTGAACATTAGGACATAAACATTTCATGGTTTTCCTATTCCTTGTTAAATGGTTGGATTGTTTGTCCTATAATATTGTTGTTGGGAGGGTAGGCATATTACTTTTTAACTGCATTATTCATGAAGCTGCTAAAATAATTCCTTTGTTATATGAAGCTTTTCTATAAAACTGTTGACTGTTCATATATTAACTATTCTTTTGTGAGCAACTTTTTTATTTGACTTAGTGTTTCTTTGAATCATGTGGCCTGTTTTAAACTTGGAAAAATCCTTCTTTATCAATATTTAATTTTTTCCTTTTTTCCCATTTTGGAATATTTTTATTATTCAACTCCTTAAATTGTGTTTTTTTCTTTCTTTCTCTCTTTGGTGTATCTCAAATATGCCACAAGTAAGTATTTTCCCTTGAGAATTACATTCTGTTTAAAAGCTTTGAGAATATTGCATCAGTACTACAGAATATTGCCTGGAGTGAGTCAGTACAATCACGATTTCAACATTAGGTCGTCTGCTTTGATCTAGATTTTTAAATTTTAAAACTTATGAGATATTTATGCTTAGGGGAATCTTTGCGTCATTAGATCATACTACACACTCAAGTGTATATTACAAAGTTGATTTTGTGAGAACCATCTCTATAGCTAATCAGTGGCTGATTTGGAGCTACACATAAAGAAATTACTCTTATTACCAAATCTAGAAATGATTTTAGGACACTCAGTCTAAGCAGAAGCAACAGAGTCAAGGGAATAACTTGTACTTTTGTTATTCTGTTTTTAGAACTCTTTGAGTCTTTGTTATAGGGCTTAAAGGCTCAAATGATAAGAAATGTTTGCCAGATTTGGTCTGTTGTCTCTATCTTATAGAGAATTGTGGGAAAGTGTATTTTAGCAGAATTCATGAACCAATTAAAATAGGAACTTGATTTACTTAATCTAAATTTCCCCTACCTTCTTAGAGATTAAAAGAAAATCTCTTAACTATTCCTCTTATTTACTTTACCTCCCTTGTTTGTGTGTTTGTTTTGGTTACTTAACAGATGTCTTTAATGGCTAGGAATTATTCTCAAAATTGAGTTGTAAAATTGAGCATTTCTAGATCTTGCTTAGACTTGCAGTGGCACAGGACCAATGACTAGGCCAAGGTGGTATTGAAGCTGTACCAAAATTAAGTATTGATTTTATAGTTTAATTTTTATCCCTGCGCTGCTCTGCTTCCCATCACCCTATACCACTAGTAAGTTCTAAAAAGCATGTGGACAGCATCTTGCTCATCACAGGATCCCCAAAGTTTTTGATTCACAAGTGTTTAATAAATATTTTTAGACTGATTTCTTGGTAGCAATCATGAAAATTAAAAAAAAAAAGCTTCAGGTCATCTTTGCTTTTAAGAAATTGACTTTTACCTCTCAGTCTGCCTTAAATACTCAGTGACTCTTCTAACTGAAGAGTGAAGTGTTTGGGGGAAGATGGTAATGACCAATCTGATGCAAAGCCAGATAATGAAAGCTATTTAGATTTCCTAGGAATTTTGCTTCCTGGATGTTGTTTATTTCCAACATATTCCATAGATGATGCCCTTAATTGTGAGCAAATGACGGCCATCACACAACTTCTCTTCTCTTTAATGCCTAGAGTTAAATTTTAGAAAATCCCTCTCAAGGTGTGACTTGATAGAAGATTCTTAATTCTGATTCATTGACCCTTATATGTTTTTGTAATGAAGAATCTGGCTTCTCCTCCTAAAGTTATAATCCTAAAAGCTATGACTTCTAGTTATTATTTTTTGCCTAACTTTTATATGGAAAGCACCTGATCTTAGGTGTCATAATCTGTTTTCTTTTAAGATTTCAACAATTTGTAATATGTATTTCAAAATATCAGTCTTGCAAAGCTTGTGATACAGTGGGCTTAATTTTAAAACATTTTGGTATTTTTCAGCACCCCCAACAATTCAGGTATATAAGGTGATAAAATGCTCATATATTTTAAACTTGTAAAATGTGGACAATACTTTTTTAAATCTTGTTACTAGGGATTAAACCCAGAAATGCTTAATCACTGATCCACATCCCCAGCCCTTTATACTTTTCGTTTTGAGACAGGTCCTTGCTAATTTGCTGAGACTGGCCTCAAACTTGGCTCTCCTCTGCCTCAGCTCCCAAATCACTGGGATTACCAGTGTGTACCACCACGCCTGGCTTCATACATATTTAAGCATGTATGAAATGTTGACAGCTTCCATTTTGTACAGTATTCTTCATAATATGTAAATATGGGTATAAATTAAAATATGATTTTAATAATATGGTGATATGCTTTATTTTTAATAAAATGAAGTTATACTATAAAATAGACTCAATAAAATATAAAGTTAGGTTCTCTGTGAATTTTAATTAATTTTAGTACTGCTAAATAGTATTGATTACTAGTTTAATGTTGGTTACTGAGAGACCTTCAATTAATCTCATTTCTTGTGTTCAATCATGTTACTTAAAACCAAGGAGTCACAGAGAACCAAAATAAAACCTTTATTGCTGAGCAATTATAATACAAGGCTTAGTAGATCTTCTCACTGTACCCTGGAATTTAGCAGCTTTCACCATAATTACATAATGCCAAACCAACTCTTACTGCCCCAGGAGTGTCCCTGGAGGGCCCTCAAGTGCCTTAGAGGAAAAAGTAATAGAATTGAGCAGAACATGCCCAGATTTTTCCTCTCATTTATCAACCAGTTGTGATTTCACCCCTTGGGGATTTATAAAAGCTAGATTATTATCAGTAGCTAATCTGCTAAGTGTCATGTGGAAACATCAAAAGTTTGGAAGAAGTATAAATATATAATAAACAGAGACAATCCTTCCAACCTTGAAAAAACCTTGGGTTTGTAGAACTAGCTGTATTTAATCTCCATTTTATAGATATATTAGGCCAAGCTGAGATGAAGTTTATATGAGATTACTCATAGAACCAATATTAGAAGCTAAACTATGGGCTTCCAGTATGTTTTGCTATAATTTTCCCTAAACACTGGTATCATAACTTTGAAAATTGGAAATCCTAAGCTACTAGATTCAGTGCCTACTTTTGAATAAAATGTGATCTGAATTTGAAATGTGAATGATAGACTTCTGTGATAAACAGGTTATGTTTTCAGAAAATTCAGAGATTATACAGTCCCTCATTACACCATAACTCTCAGAGACAAAGTTTGATGAAACCTTTCTTGTATTCTGTACATACTTTGAAATTTTTTAATCACAGATAAATCTGGTTTCATTTGCTAGAGCTGCCTTAGCAAAGTATCATTAACTGGGTGGCTTAAACTATTGTATACTACAAGTCTGAGATCAAGATGTTAGATGTGTTAGTTTCTTCTAAAGATTCCCTTAATGGCATGGTTTTCTCTGTTTCTGCATCCTAATCGCTTATAAAGGACAACAGACAATAGTCCTGTTGGATTAGGGTCTACCTAAATCACCTCATTTTAACTTTTTTAAGTTGCTATTCCAAACTACAGTCACATTCTCAGATAGTAGAGATTAGGAATTCCACATATGAATTTGAGGAGATAAAACTCAGTTCATTACCATATCCTTCACTTAGATTTTAACAGTTGTTAACGTTTTGTAAATTTTTCTTTTCTTTTTTTTTTTTTTTTGCTTTTTTAAAGCAGAAATATTTAGTAACAAGTTAAAGAAACTGTGTTCCCTTACCCATACTATTTCATATATATACACTAAAACTGAAGGCCTTTTTTATGTAGTGATAATAAAATTAATGAAACTTAATTAACATCAGTACACTTTTATCTAATATAGATTTAAACTTGAATTTTACCAATTGACCAAATAATGTTCTAAAGTAAAGTCTTTCCCCCTACACATGATCTAATCCTATAAACATACTGCATTTAATTGTTTTGTTGTTTGTACCAGGGATTGAACCTAGGGTGCTTAACCACTGAGCCACATCCCAGCCCTTTTTTAATATTTTTATTTAGAGATAGGGCCTTGCTATTTTATTTTGTGCCTTTTATGTATTGTTTTGAATTTTTTCCTCATCAGATTCAGTGCATTTTTTCCCCAAAATACTATGCATTATGCAAGTGATTGTTTCTTTCCCAGTGTATCACATTAGGAGGATCTTGACATCACTTTCTCCTGTTTTGTGTTGTAAAATTTGATTAGAGTAAAAAAAACTTGGTGGCTATCACTTAAAATTATTATCTTCTCCTTTGAATTAATAAAAAGTACTCGGTGTGAAGATCAGAGTAACCCTTTTGAAGGGTTAAGTAGATAATGTCATTTTCCTATTCTCATCTTCCCTGTAGTGGGTTCCTGTATGTTACATTCGAAATAATGTCTAGTGTCTTTATCCTGGTCTTACAAGCAGTCTTCAAATTTTGACTCACTCTGTGTTACATTTTAAATTGAGACTTAACACATGTACATCAGATGCAGCAATGTTGTATTCATATATGTATATAGGAAAGTTATGTCAGATTCATTCAACTGTTTTTCCTATTCCTATCACCCTTCAATTCCCTCCCCTTTGTCTTATCCACTGAACTTCTACTCCTCCCCCCTTGTTGTGGATTGGCATCCACATATCAGAAAGAACATTCTGCCTTTAGTTTTTATGGGGACTGGCTTATTTTACTTCATTTACCAGTG